TTTTGCCTTCTCTTTACATTCGACTGAACAAAATTTAAAACCAATATATACATAAACAATTTGCTGAATTATGCCCTGGCCGGAAAAGTCGAATTCTTGATTTGCCCTTTGCATCCTTGGCAGTGTTTAATGAAAATCCATTTGTATCAACAGTTTGTGTAAGTCCACTTTTGTGTCTGAAATTACCTTTCGGGGTGAATGTCGGCTTCATATATCTGTGCTCGATTTTTACCGGGAGCTGCCAAAACGGTTGCTTACTTGGCGGGCATATCGGGCCACAGCTTTAGCCCATTTTCTGATCCCATCTTTCAACTTCTGGGAGTTCAAATGCTTTAGAGATTTCACGGATGGGTCGATTGACAGCTCCCGAAAGGAAAAGAACCCATTTGACCTCCTTTTCTTGAGGCCATCGTGTTGGGATTTCGAGCTTTTGCCGATTTCTGAAAAAATATCTTCTCTGTAAGATAGAGATTTCTTCTCTGATGGGCCAAATTCCATCAGTTTTTGTGATTGTTCAAGTGTTTTCTTTGGCTTCAACTCTGGTTTTTAGTGTATTTATAAGGGAAATGGTGATGGGTTGTTTGTTGGTGTGGTGTTTTTTTATGCGTGTTGATTGCAACAAGTTGGATTTTGACTTTTTAAGAATTTCTTGATTTATATTATGAGACTAATCAAATTCTTACACCTTGTAAGAACGAGTTGTTTGGTGCTTACCAAATCAATCGTCTAATGACATCACAACGATGGTCATAAAAAATGTAGTAGTCTGAACAGTCTGAAATCGAAAGATATCCCGGCGGCCCACCTCTTCTCGGCCTGCCACCATTTCGCGAGGCCGGTGTGTTGTTTTATTTTTTGTTGTTTTTGAGTGTGTTTGTGTTGTTTGTGGGTGAGTTATTCCCCATTGTGGGAGTTTAATTCACTATTCACATCTTCTCGACATTACACATCACATCAACTTTAATTCACTATTCATCAACTCACATAATTTTAACTAACTATCAATTCCAATCATTATCTCATACTTTTATATCAAATCAACTTTAATTATTTTATTTTAAATTTATTTTAATACATCAACTAACAACTAACCATACTACCTTTTTTCGAACTTAACTATGGTTAAAAAAATTAATTTTTTACTAGTTGAATTCATATTCAATCACGCCCTTAGTCTCCACTAGTGGGAGTTTTTACTTTTGTATTTTGTCTGTTGCAGTTTGAATTAACTGCTCTATAATACCTGAGAGCAGTGTAGTTCTCTTCTAGATTCAACTTAGTAGTCGATTGTTTCAGCTGTATTCGACTGTTCTAGTTTTTGTGTTTAATTTTTAGTCTATCGTTTCGGAAAAAAAATAATAAAAAAATAAAAAATAAAAAAAAAACTTGTATACTCAAGTTTTACCTAAACTAGTAGATATATGTGCACATGCACAGATGTACATAAAATATTATAAGTAATATTTGAGAATTTAATACTAAAATTCTAGATAATGAACATATTACATTTTAAAAAAAATTGATCATTAGGAAAAATAAATTACCGATTTTATTATTGTGAACAATTGTTTATTATCATTAGATAATAATAGTTTTATAATTATTATTATTATTATTATTACTATTATTATTATTATTATTAAAATTTTTATAAGCTTCTAACGTTGTTTGACTATGCTATTAAAACAATTTACTAATTATTTTTTAAGAAATTTTTTAATGAGATACAAAAGAAAAAGATAATATTGATGTTAAAATAAATAACTTAAAACAATTGTTTATAATTACGTAATTTATATTTATTGTGAATTATTATTATGAGTTGGTATTAGTTATAACTATTATCTAATATAATAGAATACATGATTACACTCAATAAGATGTATTAATGTGAGAAGTAGAAAAAATATTAATGACTTGTAACCGAAAATGGAGGGAAAATTTTAGAGGTTTTATTAAATATGTTTTATTAAATGCTACATGTCAGCAATTATATATGTATAGATTACCCAACTCGAAAATGCAAATAATCTTTTTTTTTTTTT